ATTACTTCTATGTATTTTTTATTTTCAATTACAATACTAGCATGATGATTATTTAACTGTGATAAAAGTTAAAAAACGTTTAAATCAACATACAAGAAGAGTAAAATGGGAACTCTTCTCATTAATCTAAGATCTAATTCCTATAAGCATATGTATCAAAAATAAATCCAAATGACTCAAGTCTATGGATAGCTACCAAAAGAATCACTAAATAATAGCGAGGAAAAATTCGCACACTAAAAAAACGATCTAAAGCTAAATATGAAACTAATATTGAAAAAGTGAAATCTTTACTCAACAGTTAGTTATCAAAAGCTGTTTTACAACTGATCAAAACCATACAATTCAAAATGAAGTAACAAACCTCAAACAAAGAAACAAAGAAGATCGAGCAGTATTTAATTTAATTAGCCCATGTACCCCTAAGGAACTACAGTTGATAATAAATAAACTAGCTAAAAATAAATCCCGGGAGACGATCTAATAACGAATGAAACACTCAAAAATCACTAGCATATATACAGCTAGTTTCATAAATTCCTCCATGAGGCTAGATTACTTCCCTGACGCATGGAGAATTGCAATTATTATCCAAATACATAAACCTTGAAAACTAAATAGTTCACCCAAAAGTTACAGACAAAATATTGAGACTAATTTTATGCTATTTTATAAGTAAGTACCTTGTCATCTTAAATATTGATTGTTTATTGTTGATAAAAAAATTAAGGCTTGATAAATTAAGTTGAGGTTTAGTTCATATAAATACCTAAAAATCTAATTATATCGTCATAAATATTTTCCAGAGCTATTTGAATTTCAATGGAATTAGGTTTTTAACCATAGACGCATTATATAATAACTAGAAGTGGGTTACTGTAATGGATGGAATTAAATTCGAATTCAATGATATCATATCATCGTATACGAAAAACGATTCTGAGCGGAGATGGTTTATCTGTCTAGGATATATTATAGTTTATTAAAAAGTTTCAAATCTTAGATTTTAAAAGAAAATTTTTTATGAATTTTTAGCTTAAAAGAATTTGTGAATTTTCGTGATTTTTACGTATGTTGTCAAAATTCAAACTTTGAATGCATATAAAAAATTTTTTTATATTTTTTATTTCTTTTATTTTTCAACTTCTATTGTAAAAATATGTTAGGAGCGTTGTATTAAATTTTCAAATCTTAGATTTAAAAAGAAAAACTTTTATGAATTTCTATCTAAGATAATTTGAACATTGCCGTAATTTTTTCGTATTTAGTCAAAATTTGAACTTTAAAAGCTTATAAAAAAAAATCATGCCTATGTATTTTTAATATTTTTCAACTGCTATTGTAACAATATGTTAGGTGTCTTGAATTAAATTTTAAAACTTTTATACACAACAAATAGATTTTTTTCAATATCAATTTAAAAAAAAATTAATAATGATCGAAAATTGCATATGCCTATAAATAGTTCAAATTAAGTCAAACATGGTGGATAGAATATACTTATATAAACAATCGGTGAAAATTTTATGTATCTATGGTCATTTGTTTTAAAGTTAAGTACATAAAAAACCAAAATCTCGTTTTTCCTTAATTTTTAGTTTGTTTATCCCGATTATTTAGAAAAAAATATTGGGAATTTTTAACTTTTGATCTCCCCAAAGTACAAACTAGATTCACTTTCTGATCGAACTACGAGATACTGAAGTCGAAAATCGAAGCACTTTTACTGCCCCAAAACGTAATGACAGACACAAAAAAAAAAAACACACATCATGGTAGAATCAATACATTCCTCGCTCTGCTCAGATTCTAATAATACTATAAGATACACCATCTTTGATCAAATTCATTAGTAATTTTATACATAAAAATATACAATGGTTTATTCACATCCATAACAGTAGCTAGCCTATACCCAAGGACGAGGTAAAATTGAAACTTACAGTTTACGACTATACATATAGCAGAGCGAGTTAACTGGTGTTTATAATTACATTTGTTGATTAAGATTTTAAGCACTTAACGTATTAATATAAGTCTCTCAAGACTCAACATTCATAATATAGATATATATTTCATAACTATAATATTTTTAATTAATATGTTTAAAAGACTTTTATCTTTAGTTATTTATACTATTATAATGACTAACTCACGGCTTTCATCTTTAAATTGTTTATAGTACGATCTTGAGCAATTAAGTAAACGGCTTATTTCAGTAGTTATTTGATTGCATTCAAATGTATAATAATTTTGTAATACATCTAATAAATAATAATACACCATTGTGCTGAGTTGAGCTAATCAAGATAAGTGCTCTACACTGTCCACACTTAAATTCTTAATTCTATCATAGTTTGTTGGAAATATATATATATATATATATATATATATAATATATATACATATTACATATACATATATAATATATTTAAATTTAGGTGCAAGTTATATAAAGAAATAAAATTATTTTTATTTTGTATTATATGTTATTGGATAGAGAAAACTAAAAAACGCTCATATGTTCATTCGGTGCTTAATAGATTAGACTTCAACCCATATAATTCTATTTCAATTATTACAATTCATATACATTTCAACAGATATTATATAGGTATAGGTAAAATACAGATAAATTGATTAAAATCTAAAACTATCAACGTGTATTAAGTAGGCATGGTAATTGTTAGAGCAAAAATTTAACACTTTAATAAATTATATTCTTATTTAGTTAAAAATTATATTGTTACTCGAAGTAAAACATTTTTATATTTATAGAAGATGAATAAGATTGTTAATTTTTCTGTATAATTATTAAAAATATTTGTTGTTGTTTTTTTAATCCCAGTTTTATTATTATTATTTTTAATAACGTAGTGCATACAAGTCTTTTGTATTAGTTCTTATTTCGATTGAGTTATAGATTACTTACCACAGTTAAATTATTGATGCCTTATTATTTTTCCTTTAATTACTTCCAACATCCACTTGTAAATTTTTTATATCGAGAGATTCGAATTCTTATTTCTTATTATTTCTCACAATATTTTTGTTTCTTTCACTTTATTGATAATTATCTTATACATTTATAATACCGGTTATTCAAGTATAAAATAAATAATAATTAATTGAACATCGATGTTAATAAGTATTGATAATTATACTATATACCTCACAGTGGTGGACAAATCACTTTCCAGTCACTGCTTTCTTTAATGATATTTTGAAGTAAAGTTTCKAATTTAATTTAAACGTAAGTTAGAAATATTACACGATTCTCGTTCAAGATAATTAAATTAAACACCATACTACAATTATGTAGTTATATTTTACACCTTTTTTGTTATCGAAACGTATCACTAGAATGAATCTAGAAAATAGTAAACTGACATTAAAAATAAACACGTTTATTATCATTTTTGCGTTCTTTGTCGAAAATTGTTCTTATAGAAAAACGTAAAATACCTTATTTGTGTGCGTGTTTAGTTATTTTTATGTGACTTAAGTCTCGCATAAAAAATAATAATCGAATGCGTCTTTTAGCTTTTGCAGTTTTTTCTTGGTTGAATGATGAATGTATTTAGATTTTATAGTTATTTTCTCTTTGATCATTAAAATGTTAAAAAAATAATAAATTAATAATAATCAATAGTAGCTAAAGTCTATGGTATTACACACGCTTAAAACGTGACAATTCTATGGTAGCCGGTAGGTAATAATGGCTTCAAAAACATATTTTTTTTGTATTTACTAAATAAGTTTCGAATATAGCCTATACATTTTATTATTTAAAAAGAGTTGATGTTAATTACCATTAGTGAAAAAAAGAAAATAAATATTTATTCAGTACCTTCCCTTTGTTTTTGTATATTGTATATATTTTATACTAAGATACATCTTCATAATACTTTCTTAAGGTATAAGTAATTGATATTTTATTATTTTTCATTTCGGTTTAAAATATTTTGTATTACCTAAAGTATCTATTTCAAACTTACAAGTGCGCTGTGCGCAATTGTATCATCAAACCCTACGGAGAAAGCACACTTACGATTCTTATAGTAGATATCTACTCCAATTAGTACACCTAATATTACGTATGATACTTGATTCAATGGCCGTAGAAACAAAATGCTTTCACTATGATATTATTTGAAAACTTTTATTATTAGGTTTGTAATATATTGGGGTTTCAAAGGTTTATATTAATGAAGGTTTTCTAATTTTTTATAAGAAATAAAGTTAAGTCAAGTTTTTTTCGAAAATTGGTTAGTATTAAAACAAACAAAACATTGTGGCAACTTGAAAACAACGATTCGTAGTTACACATTGTACCTATAAAATATGTCCGCTTATTATATATCTATGATGTACCCATCTGTACGGACAATAATTTTGTTTGACATTTAGTAATAGGATTTTGCTGGAATGGATTGTTTTCGCATATAATATTAATAATAATAATAACATAATGTAATCTTATATAATGAAATAATATAGTTGGGTGGTAGGTACACGTCATAATATATACACGTGAATAATATTGAATTACCACTTCTTTATTTTTAACTACATACAGTGGTCACCAATACAAAGTGTTCTCCTTCCTCGGCTATAAAAAATCTCTTCGTCATTGTCGTCGTCGTCGTTGTAGTCGTATACACAGATTTTTGAGATACAATTACACTTATCGCGCGCTGGACAATCTGTCATACTCATAATAATATATTAATATCGCTATGATACTCGACTTGTAGTTCTTGACGCGTGCCTACAGAAAATAATATTAGGTACCTATTATTAAGTTTAAACTACAGCAAAGGTTAGTAGCATCGGTCCGACAAGACTCACTACCACCATCGACACCTCAGCAGCCTTTTCTGCTCAGATTGAAAGCTTTTGTCGTTGTATTACGTATATTCGGCAACATTATAGTAATAATATCGATATAATAATTTTATATTATTATATACCAGCAGATACCTGAACACTCCTTCTCCTTTCATTTCTCGACGTCGGCGACCGAACGAAGATAGAGCGAAGGCGTGTGACGCTGTTACACAACGTTTCGGCCTCGACGGCCACCACCACCACCACAGCCACAGCCACCTCCACTTCCACCGTCACCGCCGCGTAAGACCATTACACCATACAGGCATTGACTCTACAGTCTTAGCTAGCGTACGGTGATCCAAAGAAGTTTTTTCAGCGCACATGACGAGACGGTAAATATTTGTTTAATTCAATAATATTCGCGCTTTCTCTACACGTTTTGTTTTATCAAACAATAATAGTTAATACTTAGCTTTTATGTTATCAGTTATATTTTCTGCGCATGTTTCGAATGTAACTATAGTGTGAATTTATTCTTACAAAAATAAGTACATTGTAGGAGCGAAATCAAAAATACTTTACTGAGCAAGAAATAACCACTCCACTGTATACATCAAACATCAATCGTAAGAAAATATTTTAATAATAACCGATATTTTGTCTCCGTTTTCTTTTTATTTAATATCAAAGTCATTAAATCGACATACGTGTTAGTGAGCTTGCAGCTTTCTTAAAACGAAAAACGGTTTCTGTTTGTATGTACCTAATTTAAAATTTGAATTGGTCGTATTATCAGTATTGTCAGCATCATCCGTGGTCAATAGTTCCAGAAGTCGATATAAGGTCATTGTCGCTGACACATCAGTTTATAATGCTCGCCGACAAACGATCGCCTCACAGAAATGCAGGTGGTGTCACCGTCATCATAAACTCATGACGAAATAATCTGCACCATAAAATGTACCTACTAGATTCCTCATTGGAATTGAGGAATACACCTGTGCATGATATTTGTTGCATGACGTGCTCCAAGTTCTGTTTATAAGTATGAAACCAAACGCAGTTTGTCCAGAACACAGTTCAACAATGTCGGTATTGGTCATCATCCTCTCTGCTACTTTACTGACTTTTACGGGAAAAACAGGCGCTCAAGGTACGTTGTACTTCTTTTTACCGCTTGTAATAATTATATTTTTAAGATAATTATAATATAATACTAGTTTCTAGTTAAATAATTGAACATATTATAATATTGTGGTCACTGATCAGTGATCAGGTATTATAACTATATATATGAAAGTTTTAAATTATATTTAACGGGTTTTATAATTATATTCAGGTATTTTCCTTTACTGTAGTAATTTATGATACAATATTACAAAGTGTAGATAAAATAATTTAAATAATATCAATAAGCTACCCTTATTTATTTTAAATTACTGTAAAAAGATCTCATAAGTATCTTTTGTAAGTATTTCAAATTCTCATACTTCTTAATTGATTACCTATTAGTTTCTTAAATTATATACAATATATATATATATATATATATATATATATATATACAATTAAGCTGATAATGTTTTCTTAGCTATTGCTTGGACAACTCTGGGGGGGGGACAAGTGGAGCAAACGTCAACCTCACTTTTAGAAGTTAGAAGGGCGTCGAATTCATAATATTGCAATATGGCAAAAAATAAATGGAAATAATTATTGCATGTAAACAATAAGAGTCATATTTATTACCTAATTTATCAAACGGTTTTACCAGTCGATGTTTCCGATTCTTTGTTTGGTTTTTATGAAACTTTACTGAAATTAAGCAATAACTATAACGAAGGCTTGAGGAAAAACTTCTTGGTTTTTCAGAACTATTCAAGTGTTGATGATTCTTGTGATATAATTGCTTTTGAAGTAATGATGAGATGTTACTTTTTCAAAATACTAATKCAGTACAAGCACTGACTTTCTTAAAGAGGATGCCTAGTGCATTTCCTAATAATGTGAAATTTCTCTTAGAATCTCATTAGTAGTACCACTAACCTCAGCGTCTGCCGAAAGTAACTTTTCTAAACTCAAAATAATTTTAAACTATTTCAAAAGACTGATCTGGCTACAATTTGTATACACAAATAAAAAGTAAATTCGTTAAATTTTAAAACCTTAAAATAAAAATAACACAACACAATATTATTCAAGTCTTAAAATAAGTCCAGAAATTTTTTGTAAATTCTTGTTTAAGCCATTTTTTTACATTTTGATAAGAGTTTTTAGTAATATGTAATAGATAACAATTAATTCAATTGTAAATTTATACTTAGTCAGTAAATATATAGTATTTTTTTGCAGACTGCTTATAATAACATGGTGTGTTCATGAATTGAATATTTAAAGACAACAATTTTTGTACAACATTAAATAAAATAGAGTATCTATGCAGAGTTAGTTAAATGACAAAATAAATCTAGATGAGATTGTCCAAAAATTTAAAGTGATGAGTAAAAAATATAAGCCACAACCCACCAAAAATCATATTGAAAAAGCCCCTAGAATTTAAAATTTTTCTCAGGACTAGTAATTTGTTCAGACTGGTCTGATCCAATGCGATAGATACCAGACAATCCGCTGACAAAAGAATTATCCAACTTTTCGTTTGTATTTCATATTTAACATTACCGAATATACTAAATATTTTATGATTTCCCTAGTCGTTAATCCAAGAAAGACTTTCTGTGTATATTTTTTTTTCTATTAACATATAAAGAAATAGTGACAAACGCTTGTAAATTTATAATTCACTATTTTACATAGAAAATCGGATAGAAAAAATAGAAAAAATACTGTGTGCACTGTGATCGTGAGCATGTGTGTTGCAGGTATACCATTTAACTATTCATCAGGTAATAATTGTTTATTATACACCACGTAATGCGGTATCTACACTTAATAATATTCATCTATATATACCTACAGTGCAATTTCGTACATAATAACCATAAATGTAACACAATAATTATGGCGAGTTTTACGTAGGTATATAATGGATTATAATTTATAATGTGATATACATTTAGTGTATCAATTTTTACAGTACATAATAATATAATCTTTTATATAAATATATATATATATATATATATATATAAAATAGTAATAATAAATAAATAACGATTTTCGACTAATTATGAAATGGGCATCGCCCCACAGCTATAATATGTATCATGTATGCGACGGGTGTCCTTGGTTCGTGACGGCAACGACTTTAAGAACATTATACAGTGTATACCACCAGGTTGCCAAGCCGTCTTAAGCATATATATTCTGTATAGTACCAATATACATTCCTCTATAGTGCACTGCAGGTGTATGATACAGCCGAAGAGTATGTGTGTTACGACGTTGCCACGATTTTATATCGAATGCGATTTACAATATACTTTTACTTTCACTTTGTTACGACGGCCGCCCTCGCACAGAATACCGACGGCATTGCGCGATAGTAACGGTGGAGGTGCTTGGCGAGGCCGTGGACCGTAGTCCGTGGTAATGGAATTCCAGAATTCAGGAAACAACCAGTCCTAGACACATTACAATACGAACCAACACCACACGAATAATATTAATATTATGTTTCGTTGATAATATTATTGCATTGCACGACACTCTAAGACGTGTGGCGCCGAGTGGCTGAGCGAACAAACAGTTATTATTACTATTTAGATTCGATGCGTTTTAAAATATTTAAAACCTTAAGCTAACATGTTCTGCGACTTGCGAGTATAACTACCAACTGCATTAGTCATCGTGAACTAGCTTCGTGAAAAAATCGTTTCAGTAGTACTCGACTATATAAAAGCGTTATAAATTATTACTCACTCGGACCATAAATGCTTATATAATTAGGGCTCGGATTTTGTAATGAAATAAATCGTGAAAATAAGCGTTTATTATAAGTTATAATATTGCTAAAAAAAGCATTAATTTAATTTAAACTTGAAAAATATTGGAACAAATTTAAATTATTTTTCTCTTATCTAAAAGTTAAAATGATCACTTTGAATTACAACTATAGGTACATTAATCTGTGTCCCGATAACTATTCTATAAGTAATATGTAATTAAATTGATAACAAACGAAAAAATATAGACAACTTAATAGAAAAATTTCACCTATTTCTAGCGATAATATAAAAGTTACCTAATCTGGCCAATATTATTATAATTAATATTATAATTGAAGACATATAGATAATATATAAAATTACATTTTTCGTGTAGATTATTAAAAAGTGATGCAAAAGTGAGCAAACAAATACATTTAAGAAGGAAAAGCAAAAATCAAAATATATTTTATTCCATAACAACTATAATCATATAAAATTAATTTAAAAATCACAATTACCTTTTTATCACACTACGCGCGCGCGCGCAAAAAAAAAAATTATCTACTATACAAAATCCTAGCCTTACTAATTATTATTGTTCCAGTACCTAAGTATGTGTTGTAAATTTGTAATTGTATAATGCCAAACTAACAACTATGTAATTGCACATGACGTGAAAAATTATTATTATTTCTTTGATTTTTTTGTACACATTACAGATATGACTTTCGCATATATTATAAATTTGTAAACATTGTAATGATAAAATCAATGTTAACTGAAAACCTAGTTTTTTTCTTATAGGCACCTAGGTTACTTAGGTTGTATTAAATTGAGTTTTGATAATTAAATGAAAAAATAACCGTGGGATTTGGATGTACCTATTTTTTTAAATATTATTCGTGATGTTTTCGTAATATGAAGAAAATCATATTCTTTTTATGTACATCCATCAATAAATTAAAATGCAGGTATAATATCATTTTATTTGATACCTGTACCCATTACAACACTGTTCGAGGGTAATGTTCTATTGGAACGCTTGAGACATTAAATACAATGTGTCAAAGATTATCTCATAAAAGTTTGTTGTATCTAACCGTAGATATCTGTTACTTTTTTAGGCCCGTAATCCCATTGTAATATAATGGATCCGTTGTGCAATTTCGAACTGATTGTTGTGTAATAATAAATACACGGCATGTTTATAGATACCATTCACACCCCCGCCACATAACATAGCATTATTTGCACAAAAATAATACGTATTTGACATAATAAAAGCAGGAACACCGCGCGTACAAACGGTATAGATACAAAGATATATTGAGCAATATACATTGATGGACATAATATTTTGTCGTGACATATTTCAATAAACTACAAGTCTTTATACCTATATGTAGCGTTACGCCGACAATGGCGATGTTATACGTCCATAGGAAACTACGTAGATGGCGGAAAACTCTAAATAAAATCGGGAAAAAAAATACAAAACGTTTCGTCATGCTGCGACTTACCTAACAAGGACCAGGTATTCGGTTTCTACCTATAAATAGTTATATCGTCCATTGGTAACGTGTTTTGGCGTGTTGTGTTTGTGTAGATAAAGTTGGAGAAAAAAAAATAATTCAAAAGTAAACGTCATTATTTAATCGCGCCCGGAGTCGCCACCATCATTCATCCGACTAATGGGATCGCGTATAGTAAAACATTAAAAATGAATGAAGGAAACGCTTTAATGCGTTCTTCGAATACCTCCAGGCCTAAAATGACTGTGTATCGATTTAAGTATATTAAGTCTGTTTTAAAATTATACCCACGGTTATAAATCGGTCCGTCGTCGCAGTTAAGAATGCCTTGCACAGGTTAATGTGTATAGGGACACTGAGACTATGATGATAATTGCGATGATATCATCGTCGTCGTCGTCTAGGGTATAGGATTTTATTTGATTAAATGGCGAAGTATAATATTAATATTACATTGGTTATGTTATAACTTTTAATATAGGTAGGGACAGTTAATTATTCATTACGTTCCGACAATGATTGCAAAAAATTTGTACATTTTCTAAAAAAAAATTCTTTATGTACCTACTTGCATTTTACTTTAATAAATAGCAATAACTAACAATTTTTAAATAAATCTTTTTTCTTTCTTTTGTCGCTTCCGCTGAATTCAAATGTGTTCACCACAATGCAATGCAGTGGGTACCTACCTACTATTGAGTCATCCAACTGATTATGTATAGGTAACATATTTTTAT